ATTACTATAATCATTATCATCATCATCATTATTATTAATATTAGTATAATTATTATTTATAGGGTTTTAAATAAAATAAAATTTTAAAAAAAAAAAGAAAGAAAAAAAAATATTTTTTTTAAAATTTCATTTTTAATGTTTGGTAGTCGAATTTTTTTTTTTCTTTTGTTTTCGAAAAAAATAAAAAAAAAAAGTCTTCTGCTTTGGATTTGGGTGGCTCTTTATTGTTTCCGTTTATTTTTCAGTTAAAAAAAAATTTTTTTTTATTTTTCGCAATAGAAATTATTTATTATTTTTATCAAAAAAAAAAAAGAAAACTTCACTTCACGTTCATTTATTAATTCTTACTATATTAACGAATGACGATAATAAACGACGACGATTCGGAGGGGATTTTAATAATGACATCATCACAAATTTTAAAATGAGGTTTTATTAATATTATTACTATTTTCATTTAAATAATAAGGGGAAAATTTTTTTTTTTGTTTTTTAATTTCCGTTTCGCGTAAATTTTCTGTCGAACTTTCTGTTTTCTTTTTTTTTTCACTCTCGTTAGTTAATTAAAAAAATTATTATTATTATTTTCAATATGGCGACGACGTGCATTTCGAATCGAAAATACAAAATATAACGCGGTTTATGTTTATGTTTACAAATTTAATGTAAAAAATTAACGATAGATGTCGCATTTGGCGGCCATTTTGAATTTTTTTAATAGAAGGCGGTGGAATGGTGGAAACGTAATCAGTTTATATACCCGTCCATTTAAAAAGAAAAAAAAATTTTTTTTTTCGTTTTCGTTCGTTTTTTGTTATTTTTTTTTGTTAAAATTGTTAAAATAAAATTAATTAATTAAATAAATAAATAATTAATTAATTAATTTGATAAATTTGATATTTGGTTTTAATAATAATGTCGTCGTGTATGAATACGTGTGAGAAAAGTTTTTTTTTATTGATTTTTTTTAATTGAATTTTTTTTGTTTTTTTTTTTTTTTTTAATCAGGTATCATGGGTGAGACATCGTGACATACATTTATTAACAGTTGGTCGTTACACGTACACATCGGATCAAAGGTTTCGTGCGATACATCACGTACATTCGGAAGAATGGACGCTTCAGATAAAATATCCACAACACAGAGATTCTGGTATATACGAATGCCAGATATCAACGACTCCACATTTAAGTCATTTTATTCATTTTAAAGTCGTCGGTGAGTTTTTTTTTTATTGACAACTCTCTGTCTCTCGCCCAAGGCATCCAACTTGAAAATTTACTCCTAGTCAACCCCCACCCCCTTAAACATCCTCCATCTCTAACATATTACAAGAATACCACTCTCGTGTTTTTTTCTCTCGTATCTCCGCCGCCATTTTTTTTTTTTTTTTTTTTTTATTAAAACATTGGCAGGAATTTAAAATAAAATGTTTTTTTTACAACGAATCACGAAAATTATTTGCAGGAAAAAAAAAAAATTTCTTTATAAAAGTTTTATCTGAAATAAAAAAAAAAAAAAAAGTTTTTATACTGGAATAATTTACTTTTGTTTTTGTTTTTAAATGCCCGATGGGTTTTTAAATAATAAAAAATTCCTTTCATTATTTTAACCGTAACAAAAAAAAAACAAAATAAAAAAAATTTCTTTCTTTTACTCTTCCTCTTGAGTCTGTACAAAAAAAAGAAAGGAAAAAAAGTTTAAACTTTTAAAAGAAAAAAATAAATCATTTTGGATATTTCTAAAAAGAAACAAAAAAAAAAAAAATTACATAACTGGAATGGAAAGTCTCTAACTTAAATATGTTTAAAAATTACCATATTTTCACGAGAGAGGGAAAGAGAAAGAGAGAGGGAAAGAGAGAAGGAAGAAAACGTTTACGAAATTTCTTTTTACAAAAAAAAAAAAAAAATTTATGAGTCAGGTATTTAAAAAAACAAAAAAAAATCTTTAATAAATCCTTTTAGATCTTTCTCTGTTTTTTTTTCCACCCCCCAAAATCTTTTTGCATTTCCCCCCCCCTCACGTCCCCCACTCCTCCACTCACTCATTTTAACCGACGATCGACGAAAAGAAAACTTTGAAAATGACGTCACGTTTTTTTGTACACAAAAAAAAAATCGTTTTCATTATTATTATTATTATTATTATAAAACAATAAAGACGATCCTCCTCGTTGATATTAATAATAATAATAATAATAATAATAATAATAATAATAATAATAATAATAATAATAATAATAATAATAATAATAATAATAATAATAATAATAATGATGATTTGTAAAAAGCTACAAATTTTTTTTTTTTAATTAATTAATTAATTTTTTTTTTTTTGTCATCTTTCAAGGATTGTTTTCAATTTTTTTTTATGTTGTTGTTATTGAAAATGTACGTGTTTAACATTTAAAAAATAAAATAAACCCCCCCCCCCCCCTCTTTTACTCTCACCCTCACGCCCCTTTACAACTTTCCCCACCTATTAAATTGAATCTTCGTCCGCCATTTTTAATTTTTTTTTATTTTTCTCTCTGCGAATCTCCACACGACCGTGAATGGATGATGGAATTATCGCATTCGTCAATTTAATTTATTTAAATAATTAATAAACTCTATTTTAATTGATTTATCGCCTGATTGTTGTTGTTGTTAATAATTGCTTTTGCGGTCGATAAATAAATAAATAAATAATTTTTATTTTTTTATTTTTAAATCTCGTGTTTGCATTCGTGTAACGGTTAATATATAAAATTTGACCTTTTAACCTTTTTTTTCCCCGTCCTCGTTCCCGTTTCCGCTCTCAACATTCGCGAAAATCGTTAAAAATTAATCAATCAAAATTTAGGAAAAAAAAATTAAAATGGTTGGATATAAAATTTTCTGTTATCAATGATTACGTGTAATGTCGAAATGATAATGATAATAATACTGATAAGAAGAATCGAGTGGTCGAACGTTGCGGTGTCGATAAAAAAAAATTCGTTCCAGTATAGAGAAAAAACAAAAATTTGTTTTTTTTTTTTAATTTATTTCGATTCGATTAAAACTCGAATCGAAATAAAAAATACATTTCGAGATCGAGTTTCGAGTTTCTCGTTTTTTTACAAAAGTTTTAAAAATCCATTTTTAAGAAACAAAAAAAAAAAAAATTTCTACGAAACCAAATTAATTTTCTCGAATGAATATTATTAAAAAACTTTTTTGCCTTTTTTTCTTCGTTTTAAAACAATAATAATAATAATAAAGATGACATTAATATTAATAATAATAATAATAATAATAATAATAATAAAAAGAGAAAATAAAAAAACTTTTTTTTCACAGAAAATTTGACTAATTTTTTAATTTAAAAAAAAATTAATAATTTTTTTAAGTATTTTATTATCATTATCGTTAAATAAAAAAAATGGCGGTGGGAGTGGGGGAACGGGGGGAAGCGCGGGGTGGGAGTAGTGGAAAATATCTAGAATGTTTCAACGCAAAAAAAATTTTTCAAGAAAGATAATTAAATAATTAAAACAAAAAAAGAAAATATTAAAATAAAAATAAAACAAAAAAATTTTCAATGATGAGAGACAAAATTAAACAATTTTTAATGAGCTAATTAAAAGTAAAAAAATAAAAATAAAAAGCAGAAGACAAAAAAAAAGGAAGGAGATGAACAAGAATAAGAAGAAATTTTCTATCGTTAATACATAGTATTAACTATCTCGGTGTAGCGTAATAATAACTAAAAAACCGGAAATGAAATTAAATAACGAATTTTAGTCGATGATACGATTAAAATAAAATAAAATGACGAAGATGTTGATGATGATGATGATAATAATAATTAATTAAAATTACGATAATGAAGATGTTCGATGAGAATTTAAAAAAAATTTTGAGGTTAAAGTTCGTACGATCGGAGAGTGATCTTAACGATAGAAAAACAAAAAAAACCGGAAATGGTTTTTTGCTGTCGTTCGTTTACGTACGTACGTAAACCGCATCAACCGCACGCACGATGACATGAAAATAAAAAAATTTTCAAAATTAAAAAAAAAAAAAACGAATGTTTGGAAATGTATTTTTCCCCTCTGCCCCTTCCCTGCCCTCTTTCTCTCCCTTTTCCTTCCCATTCCCACACCCTTCCC